TAGCCCGTCTTCAGCCTATAACTGACTGGAATACCTAAAAAAAGGTTCTAGAACTTGCTCAGTGAAATAGGCTTCTGGTGTATAGGACTTGTAGCGTATAGGACTTGAGGTGGAACCCTGAGCCCCATCCAGAACCTTATGAGATAGGACACTCCCACTTCAAAGGACATGCAGACCAGCCGAAAGCAGTTAGAGCAATAGAAGATGCTTCTTGAAAGAAAGATCCGTAGGAAAAAACAAAAACAAAACAGAAACAGCAGTCTGTTTGGCTATTACAGGAAAAAGCAAGCTATTCATTGAGGAACCATCAAGTCAAGCAATCAAGTCCTTTTCAGGGCAAACTCCGCTGCAAGACTGATACAAAAAGGGAACACACGAACAGTCCTGTAAGCTCGCTGGCATACATGTTGGTCTAGATGTGAGTAGAAGTGGGGAAAGGCAGTAATGGAGACATGAGCTGAGTTTGACCATATTCCATGGACTCCTGTTGACCTTGAGATGACAGAGTTAAGAGGAAGCACTGGTTGGACCAAAGTTTAGGGACACTTGGGAACTCCTGAGCCCATGGACAATGACCTAGCCACACAGGGCTAGAGCTGAGAATGAAGCATCCAGCTGATATGAAGTGGGGGAAGTTGCACAAGAATACCCAAACCTGCAAATAGTACCCATTTGACCTAGCTTCAATGGCTTGAGGATCAGAACTCGACTAGAGGAAGATAAATAAATTTGATAAAGGAACCAAATGTAAATTATTACAATTTGATGAACTTAACCTATACTTATGGATGTAGTTGCTCAAAATACCAACCAAGAGAAAGGAGTCATCTCATCAAGGATCAAACCTATCTCCTCTTGTTCCACAAGGCTCATAGGGATGGGGAACTTAGACATTCGCTACCTTGTTTTTGTTGCTGCTGTTGTTAAGTGTCGTCAAGTTGGTTCTGACCCAGAGCAAACCTGTATACGGTTTCTGAGGAGCAGCTGGTAAGCTTGAACCACTGACCTTGTAGTCCTGCACATAAGCCCACAACACATGGCAAGAAGTGGCTAGCTTACGAGTTTTCAAGAGGGAGTTCAGTTTCAGACTATATGGGGGAAGGTAGATAAGTTTTCATCTTGTCTAGATGGGTCTGGTGAAAGGAGATGGGAACAGGAATCTTTTGATTCAACAGTAATTGTTATCATGACTAACTGCAATTGTCACAACTGTAAAGGTAGAAGTTGTATAACAAAACGGGAGTAGTAAGTCTTACAATCCAGGAACAGTAGATCCTATGACCATCAGGAGAGAGGAGCATGAGCAGAATGTGGGACCCTAACCAGAGAAGCAGGGACATGAGATGGAAGCAGAGATGAGGACATGCAGAAGTTCAGCATCTGAGGATCCAGACTCATGGAAAGAGAAAGGCTGTGTGCTGGCGACTGGAAGCTGGGTTGCAGAATTTGCCCTTTGGTTGTTTTAATGATTATATACTCCTGTGTTTTTGTGAACATCAACTAACAACAACAAAAAAACCCAGAGGGAATAGAAGTTAATACTGTTAACCAATGATGCATGGTGGGGATTGTAATCATTGCAAAGAAACAAAATACAATAGGTTGAGTTCAAAACTGATGTCCTCCCATGTGAACAATCACTCAATTCACAATTTAAAAAAAAGGTAAACATATATGTAGCTGCTTGTTGTTGTTAATTGCCATGGAGTTGGTTCTGACTCATAGCGACTCTGTATGGATTTTCCAAGGAGCAGTTGTTGCGTTTAAAGCGCAGACCTTGTGGTTCAAACTGGCCTTGTGGTCCAATGCTTTATCACACAGTGCCACACCAGGACTCCAAGTCACTGCTTACAGATAAGCATGTAAGTCATTGTTTGTTGTTGCTGTTAGGTGTCATCAAGTCATTACTGACTCATAGTGACTCTATGCAAAACAGAATGAAACAGGCCTGGTTCTGCACCAGCCTCACAATCATTGCTACGACTGAGTTCACTGTTGTTGCCAACGTGCCAATCCATCTCCTTGGGGGTGTTCCTCTTTTTCTCCTATTCTTCACTTTGCTAAACATGATACCCTTTCTCCAGGGTCTAGTCCCTCCTGAAAATATGTCTGAGGTATGAGAGATGAAGTCTGGCCATCCTGGCTTCCAAGGAGCATTCTGACTGTACTTCCTTCAAAACAGACATGTTTGTGATTTGGCAATCCATGCTACTTTTAATATTCTCCTCCAAGACCACAGCTCAAAAGCATCAATTCTTTTAGTCTTCCTTATTCACTGTACAACTTTCGCATGCATATGAGGTTACTGAAAATACCACGGCTTGAGTCAGGCACACCTTAGTTCTCAAACTGACATCTTTGCTCTTAGACACTTTAAAGAGGTCTTATGCAGCAGATTTGCTTAATGTAATACATTGTTTGACATCTTGAATGCTGCTTCCATGAGTGCTGATGGTTGATTTGAGCAAACTGAAGTCTTTGACAGCTTCAATCTTTTCTTTTTTTGTCTTGATGTTATTTATTGGGCCAGTGCTGAGGATAAAGTGCAACCAATACTGACGGCTGTGGTCTTTGATCTTCATCAGTAAGTACTGCTTGCTGTTGCTGATTTTAAGTGCTGTCAAGTCGTTTCCAATCCATAGAGACCCTGAATAGGGTTTCCAAGCAGTGACTGGTGAGCTTGAACTGCCAATCTGTGGTTCAAAGTGACTTTTCAGTCCAGCGCATTAACCCACAGCACTACAACAGGACTCTAAGTATTGCTTAGGGATATGGAAATGTATTTGAAAATGGCCCGTAAAGATTTACACCCTCGGAAACCCTGTACAGGGTCGCTATGGGTCGGAATCGACTCGACGGCACTTAACAACAACAACAACAACAACTGTTGATGAGTACACAACATGGTTACTGTAATTAATGTTACTGAACTATATATGTAAAAATTGTTAAAGTGGCAAATATTGTATACATGTTACCACAATAATATTGTTTATTTAAAAAATAGTAAAAGGAGTCCAGGTGATACTGTGGCTTAAGAACTGGGCTGCTAACCACAAAGCTAGTGGTTCAAACCTACCAGCTGCTCTGTAGGAGAAAGAGGCAGCTATCTGAGTCCTGGTATGGCGCTGTGGGTTAATGTGCCAGACTGCAAAGACGTTTGAGCTGCAAGGTTGGTGGTTCAAGCTCACTAGCTGCTCCTTGAAATCCCTATACAGGGTAAAGATGTAGCAATCTGCTTCCATAAATATTCACAACCTTGGAAACCCTATGGAGCAGTTCTACTTTGTCCTATAGGATCACAGAATTGACTTGACTATAGAGGACTTGGGTTTTGTTGTTGTTTATTTACTACTTTTTCTAAATAGTTTGGCCATGTAATCCCAATTTTATATTAAAAATCTAAAGGTGCCAGAAGTTAACTTGAACAACATCATACATTTGGGATTCATCAGAACTATTTCTCTGACTTTCGTAAAACCCAATAAAAATTATTGTAAGAATCAACTAACTCTATGGCATTTAACAACAATGATGTTAGAGTACCTTGAAAACTGCAAAGGACTCTTCTGTTAGCAGGCACTTAACTTATAACTTACAGCAGAGCCATTAAATAATAATAATCGACTGTATTCCTATCACAGTAATCATAAATGAGATAAACACACACAAAAAAATATACTCACTCATTCCTGAGCATTCTCTATCACCATCCCATACATTAGAAACAGCGTGTCCAGTCAACAGGAGATTAATTAAACTTTGGCTATTAATAAAAATTTTAAAGCAATTAACATGTGAATATAACTAATTCTCAAATTAAATGATTTCTATGATAGAGTACAAAACAATGACGTTTTACATTAAATTATGTTTAAGAAAAAGGATTAGGGGGAATCTTACAACTTTCCTTTTATATAATACTCAACTGAACACAGTCTTGCTAAATTCATCACTAAATAAAATGGTTACCTATATATTCATATAAAATTTAACACCTTTATACAAAATATCAAATCTAAATGGACAAAAGAAAACCAAAATTACAGTGATAATTTAATGTTTTTTATTAACTGTCCTTCAAAGCACTTGTACAATTACTTCAATATTTTATATTTGATGGAAGATGTGAAATTTAATATCTAAGGATTCCTGTATTAGAGTAGGTTCACTCTCACTGCTTTATTGATTTTTGTAGAAACAGCTATAAAAAGCTGGAGAGGGAAGAAAACAAGGACATTCTTTTTTTTTTCCAAACAGAAAAGCATTTTAAAATGGAAAAAGAATTTCCTTATTTCTAAGTCAAAAATGAGTAAATTTCATTTACTGAAAAAACTAATAAATAGAACATAAAGGAGGATGTTAAAATACGCCCCCTATATATTATAAGATAAGCACGAGACCACACGGTCTGTTTTAACCAAAAGGTTGGCAGTTCAAGCCCACCAGTCACTATGAGTTGGAATCGACTAGACAGCACTTAAAAATAACTGTGACTTAAAACAAAACATTTGCCATGATAAATCAACTAATATATAACTCTAATGTGGAAATCAGCATTTCATATGCAAAGCAAGTGATGCATAAAGCATGATGATGAGATTTTAAGTGTTATCGAGTCGGTTCCGACCTACAGCGACCTTGTATAGGGTTTTCAAGGAGCAGCTGGTGAGCGTGAACCAGCGACCCTGCAGTTCAAACAGCTTTCTAGTCTGGCGCATTAACCCACAGTGTCACACCAGGACTCCGTATAAAGCATAGGACTGCTCAAATCCAGACTTCACTCTGTCAACACTGCTGAGAGGCAAAATTAGTCATGTTTTCTCTTAAGTTTTCTACAAACTGAAGTCTACAAGGAGGTAAGAGATTTTAGCTAATTACCTTCCATGTCCGTATACAGGATCTATCAAAGGTTCACTTGCATCTTCAATTTCATTTTTTATGTTTTCAATACCCTAAAGAAAACATAAGTTTATTGGCATATTTTAAAACAAAAATGAAAAATGATGGTCATTTAAAAAAATGATGGTTGTTTCAAATTTTTTATTTTTGTTATTGAGAATATATTCAACAAAACAGACATCAACGTAACCATTTCTACAAGTATAATTCAGTGGTAACAATTATGGTCTTTCAGTTTTATAACTGCTCTCACCCTTTCAGAGTTATTTCTTCCTCATTAACATAAATACATTGCCCTTTAAGGTTCCTACCTAATCTTTAGAGTTGCTATTGTCACTTTGATACCTTAAAAAGTTCTTAAAGGAGCATGGTGGTGGTGGTGGTTATGTGCCGTGGAGTCAGAACCGACTCACCGCGACCCTATACAGGGTTTCAGAGGCTGTAAATCTTTACAGGTGCAGAAAGTCTCATCTTTCTCCCACGGAACAGCTGGTTGTTTCAAACTGCTGACCTTAAGGTTCACAGCTCGATTCGTAACCACTACGCTACCAGAGCTCCTTAAAGGAGCAAGTGACCAAAATAGACTTTTAAAAAATATTAGTTATACTAAACTATTGTTTGGTATATTTTTGGTTTAAGTTTTAAAGATTATCTCAGGACAATAGTTTCAGGGGTTGATCCAGCACCCTTAGAATCAAAAAATCTGAAATCCATTATAATTTTAAATCCTGCTCTAGATTTTCCCCTTTAATCAAGATTCTTCTATGGAATCTTTAAATAAAATATTCAATCATGGTAAACTTTTTATATAATTTTACACAAAGTGTGAAATGGAGTGCATTTCAGAAGGCAATGGTAAGGAATTCCACTGTTTTTCATGGAATATGTATAAAGAACACTAATTTGAATGATGGGTTGTTTTGATTAAAGGAGAAGAGAAATAATGCTTAAAATTCAAAAAGGCAGAGAAGAAAATGATTTAATCCATAAATTAATATTCATTAAACATTAGGCAACATTGAATCAAATCTAATAGACATTTAACAAATTACAACCCTCTGATGTAATTTCATAGGTCCTTTAAAAACTACTTTGAATTAAACATATACACAAAAAAATAAGCACTCCCTGGATTATGAATGAAATCCGTATCTGTGTCTTCAAGTTGAATTTGTAGGTAAATTGGAAGAGGTGCATATGTTTCTCATTAAATTCATCTTACTTTAATACAAGAAAAGTCTCAACCTTTTCAATGGTTTAAAAGCTGCACATGCAACAACTGAAGGTGATTGTGATAAAAAATTTGTTGAGAGTAGGGGTTAGGTCAATCATTTCAAAGTGAGGGCAAATTTACAGAACTTTATAAGACATGTTACATGAAAAAAGCAAAAGGTTATTAAAAATACAGGAAAAGAAGAAAAAACCAAAGTGGATGTCAAAAGACACTCTAAAACTTGCTCTTGAGTGTACAGAAAGTAAAGTGAATGGAAGAAATAATCAAATTAAAGAGCTGAATAAAACATATTAAAGATAGTTCAAAAAACAAAGTTATGTATTATAAGGAAATATGCAAAGATCAACACGCTCAACATTTCTCAAGCTGAAGGAACTGAAATAAAAATCTCAGGTTGCAATACTAAAGGATTCTATGGGCAAAATACTGAATGATGCAGGAAGCATTAAAGAAAGACAGAAAGAACACAGAGTCACTGTACCAAAAAGAATTGGTCAACATTCAACAATTTCTGTAGGCAGTATATGATCACGAACTGATGGTACTGAAGGAAGAAGTGCCAAGCTGAACTGAAGGCACTGGCTAAAAGACCAAGGCTCCAGGAATGGACAGAATACCATCTAATTTTTTTTTTTTAATTTAAACAAACTGATGCAGCGTTTGGAAGACAGCTATCTGGCATAAATATGAAAGAGATCCATATTTATGCTCGTTCCCCAAAAAAGGTGATCCAACAAAATGCAGAAATTATTGAGCAATATCATTAATACCACAATTAAGCAAAATTTTGCTGAAGACACCTCAAAAATGGCTGACAGACAGAAAGTCAACTAATCAAATTTAGAAAAGGATGTGGACTAAGAGATATCACTGCTGGTATCAGATGAATTTTAGTTGAAAGCAGAGTACCAGAAAGATGTTTATGTATGCTTTACTGACTACACAAAAGCATTTGACTGTGCAGGTCCTAACAAACTATGAATAACACTGCAAAGAATAGGAATTCAAACACAGTAAGTACAAGCAGAACCTGTACAGAGGCAATCATTTGAACAAAACAAGGGGATATTGAATGGTTTAATATAGTATCAGGAAAGGCGTTTGTCAGAGTTGTGTCCTTTAACCATACTTATTCAGTCCGATGCTGAGCAAATAACTCAAGAAGCTGAGCTATATGAAAAAGAATGCAACATCAGGATCAAGCAATGTTACATTCTGACCTGCATAGGTTCGCTAAGAGTTGGAACTGATTCTAGGGCACCTAATAACAACAAAGGGCAAGTACAAGTTGTTAAGTCAGATGTTCATAATTCAGGGACTGCCTGTACTGGGCTTGCTTCTAAATGCGTTGTCTCAAATATTGGCTAATCAACTTGACTATGATATACAGTGACCCTAAAGGACAGAGTAGAATTACCTTATGGGTTTCTGTAGTCTTAAGGAAGCAGACTCCAGCAAAGTGAGTGGTGGGTTCAAACTGCCAAACTTTCAGTTAGCAGTCAAGAGATTAACTACTTACTGTGCCACCGAGGCTCTTAATTCAAATGTGTACTAACAAAATAAAATGTAAATTTAAGGGGCAGGAAGCTCCTTGTTTCTAGAAAACTAATCTCTAGAAAGAGCACCCAACTCCCAAAGATCTTACTGTTAGCTGCCAACTAGTTGGTTCTCCTCATAGTGACCCTATGCACTACAGAACAAAATACTGCCCAGTCCTGTGCCATCCTCACAATTGTTATTATGTTTGGGCCCATTGCTGCTGTCACTGTGTCAGTCCATTTCCTTTTCCTGACCTTCCACTTACCCAACCATGATGTCCTTCTCCAGGGTCTGGTCCCCTCCCAACAACTTGTCCAAAATATGAGAGACAGAGTCTTGCCTCTTAGTTTCTCAATTCTAAGAAATATTCTGGTTGTACTTCCAAGGTAAATTTGTTTGTTTTTCTGTCAATCCATTGTACTTTCAGTATTCTTCTCCAACACCAGAATTCAAATGTACTGATTCTTTTATGGTCCTTATTCAGTGTCCAACTTTCACATTCATATGAGGCAACACAAAATAGCATGGGTTAGGATCAGGAACACCAAAGTCATAAAAGTGACATCTTTGCTCTTAAACATTTCAAAGAAGTCTTATGCAGATTTGCCTAATACAATGTGTCATTTGATTTCTACTGCTTTTATGAGTACTGATTGTAGATCTAAGCAAAACGAAGTCTCAGCAATCTTTCTTCATTTATCATTATTTATTGGTCCAATTATGAAGATTTGTATTTTCTTTATATTGAGTCACAATACATACCTAAGATTGTAGTCTTTAATCTTCATCAAGTGTTTTTAGTCCAGTCCATTTTGCTTCCAGCAAGCAAGATTGAATCATCTGCATACTGCAGGTTGTTAATAAATTTTCTAATCTAGATGTGACATTATTCTTCATGTTATCCAGCTTCTTGAATTATTTGCTCAGCATACAGATTAAATAAATTTGGTGAAAAGATACCTTTTCTGATTTTAAACCATTCACTCCCCTGTTCTGCTCAAAACTGTCTCTCTAGGTACATGTTCCTCATGAGCACAATTAAGTGTTCTGGAATTGCCAATCTTCACAATGTTATCCTTTATTATGATCCACACAATATAATGTTTCTGCATAATCAAAAGTAAACATTTTCTGATAATTTTTCTGCTTTTATCCAAGACCCACTTAATGTCAGCAATGCTATCCCTAGTTCTACATTGTCTTATGAATTCAACTTGAATGTCTGGCAGTTCCCTGCCAATGTACTGTTGTAACTGTTTTTTTAATTATCTTCAGCAACATTTTATTTGCATGTGACATTAATGATACCATTTGATGACTTTCACATTTGGTTGGGTCACCAAAGGTGTCGATACTGGCTAAGTACAAGAAGCCCTCGGCAGTTTAGTTTAACTCCAAAAAGGCAAAGGCAACATGCTATTACGCTAGCCACCTAACTTTGATTATTTGGTTCTATCAGAGTATATGTTATTTCTAAATATTACGTGGATGATTAATCAATAAAAAGCCTTAATGAGTACCTTAAATATTGCACTGGGATACAGAGCAGTATGAGATCTAGCACTTAGTTTCCTAGTAAATAATACAAAGCAGGTTATGACACAGTAAAAATGAGTATATGAACAAGAGATACTATCACTGAGGAGTTAGAAGGATATAATTTCAAAGAGTGATACAGGAAGAAAAGTAGAAATGATTCACGGGCTCTAAAGGACAAAATGGAAAACATTGCAAAGTATGGGTATTCCAAGGTCAAAAGAGCTTCTAGAAAGGATAAAATAGTCAAGTGCCAGACATTGTTAAGATCAAAGAAAAAATTCAGACCTGACTCCAATCCATAATTAGAACATTACTGATAACCTCTGGAGTCCATAAAAGCAGGGATTTAAAAGAAAGTTTGAAAGTGGTTAAGAACGGAGTCACTATGAGTCAGAACCGACTCCACGGCATATAACCACCACCACCACCAAGTAATGAGTGAGTTATGACAAGAGAGTAGCTGACCTGTATGTATGAACAAGACAGATATTTTGATATTTAGAAATATCTTTAGGAATTAATTACTCAACCCATCAGAAATAAATAATATTAAACTCGAAGTAATAAATGTCAGAATTATCTTCTTAAACAAACCTTTGTCAGTAATACAGAATATAGAAAAAGCAATACTCCAAATTTGTTTCCCCACATTGAATACTGGTCCAAGACAGCATCTTTTAATTCTGATAAATTTCTGAATGATCTCTTGCTAGGGGAAAAAAAGAATTAAGTATTAGTTTCATGATATGATTGACTACATTTATAGATAGGGAAATTTTAAATGGTCTTATATATTGAAATACATACATACAAACATGAGATTTTTGTGTTTCAAATTTTCGAATACAAGTTTAGTCATTAGAAACTAATGCTGGTAACTGTCACTATCATTAATATACTATTAATATAAATGTCCACTTGGCAGGGGACCTCTTTACCTTTTATGTAAATCGTCCGATATTGTAACTTCAATGTAGTTAGAGAATAGAGCGATCCTTTTCATGAGATGTTTAAAATTAAAGAAAATGTTTTTTTTAAAAAGGCTAGAATTTATCTAACAAATATCTGAATGTCAAAGATAAGGTATCTATTTCTTTTAGAATCAATTAATTTAAATTCTAAACCAAACGTCACCTATATTCTAATGAAAATATGAACAATTTTAATGAAAAGTATAGAAAGCGTATTCTGGCAAATAAAGAATAATTCTAATATTTATCCCACTAGAATTCTTTATGTTCACTCTAGACAAAGAAAATTATGCTAAAAGATATTTTCATGATAATTATAAAAAAATGCTTTAAATTTGTTTAAAAAGTCATATTTTAATAGCTAATTTAGGAATCTGAATACTTAAGTATAAATTTACAATCTGCTATTGTTTAATTTAAAAACTAATTAATCCTGTATCAGTGAATTTTAAATTTATATTTAAGCAGTGTAGTATTATATATATATATATATATAGATATATATCTTTCCACATTATGAGCAAACTTAAAATGGCAATGTTTCCACAGGGAAAGTATTTTAAATGTTCCAATGTTACTTACTGAATTAATGCATGAAATCGCTCAAAGCCAAGCTCTTCGACAGCCAAGGCAGCTATACATAAAAGACACTTTTCAGCACTACACATGGCAAATAAATGACACAAGATACACACAGCAGGCTGTAAATACTTTCAAGCAATAAAAATCTGTCCCTATTTCCTTAATCCCTTAAAATTCTCAGTTTATTTTCTACTTGACTATAATAAGAATTTACATTGAATATCTTAGTTACTATGATTATAACTAAAATGAATATAAAACTGAGACTGTAGAAGGGCAATAAAGTAATAATGAACCTGCTTTAAATTCAATTATACTAGGATAGTTTGCAGAATATGAGGAATTACTGACAATCATAGTGTTTACACGATTGTATTACATTCTGTACTTTGAATCAATTTTTCAATTTATAAATAAATGGGAAACCATCATAGATAATCTTCCTAATTTATACTATTAAATCTTTAAGCTTGATAATTATTAAACAAATGTATATAAGAAGGAATAGCATTTTGAAAGTACACAGGTTCAATGACTGTTTTAAGTTTGTTTCCTCAGTTAGTCATTTAACTATTGAGAAGTCATCAGCAACATTTAGATTATGTTCAATAATACAGTACAACTACAGACTTAAAAAACAGATAAAAGAAAGCATTTTACTTAAAAATACTGCTTATTAAGCACTTTACTAAGTGCCAGGAAATGCTCTACAGGTCTTACCTCATTTAATCCTCATACAATCTTATTTTGCCCATGTTACAGAACAGGAACCCCTGGCACAGAAAAGTATCCTAGCAAGAGCACACAGCAATAAACAGCAGAGCTGAGGTTTGAATGCAAATAGGTAGCGGTTCCCTGCAGGCAAAGTCTCTAAAGACATCACACATGAATCAAAAAGCCTATTCTAATTTATCAAATGAATTTTATGTATAATTTCTAAGACAAATATTAATACTCTGAAATATAAATTATCACGAGAGTTAGGGAGGTCCTTAACTCAAAATTAAATTTATGAATTAAAATTAAATTTATCATTCACAATTTAAAATGTCACATTATGCTACTATTTCAAAATCTAGCGTTAAGTTTCAAAATATTTTTTTAAATCTTTAAGAATCCAAATGGGTTAATGTAAATAATCATTTTAATTATGTAGGAAACAAACTGAATTTGAACCTGAGTATTTACTACTGCAAACAAAGGCGTACTACCACAAGCCAAAACTATACACACAACAAAAGCTAATGAAATTAATGATTTAACAGCATGTAATATTAATAAAAGTGAAATACTTCACATTTTAGACTCTAGGAAAAAATTAAAATTCTACCTAATCTTTTTCAAATTGCACTAACTGTTCTGTTGTCTTTGACTATCCCAATATTTCACTGGGGTACACATTATGAAAGTAGACATAAATTTAGAGAATTTAGAGAAAAGAGGCAGGCAAAATAAAAAGCTTAGCAGGCAGGGATGGTAGAAAAATGTAAAACACAAGAAAAATAACATGGGAATAAAGGAAAGAACAAACAGAATAGATTGTTATAGGGAATAACAATTCTAATATATGTTCAGTTCATTTTTAAATATCTAAATTCTCAAATTTTCAGTTAATAAAACTTTTCAAATTTACACAGTGTTAAATATTATACAGACTTGCTTTAAGCATATCCTTTGTTTCTCAAAAATTTAACATCATAAATTAAACTACTAACTATGTGTTTACATGCAAATCAGTAAAACCTGGAAAATAATTTTAAGCTAATCTTGATGATTTTTATGACTATAACCTTATGAACATTTTCCACTTATTTTCTTCAACTGTTATTATCAACTCTAAAAATACGTTAGTTTTTTTGGAAAGACTATGGTTGAAAGGCTGAAAAGAAAACTGGGCCCAATTGTTTAATTTTAAAAAGCATTCTTTGCAAGTGTATTGCAATTAGAATTTGGCAAGCTTAAAGCACATAAACTGCAAAGAGAGGGCAGAGAAGACACTAACATTACTGAGACATTTCAACCCTGGGACAAATGTGTGCCTCATCGATAAATCCTATACAGAAATTCAAGGTGGATAGCACAAACAGTCAAACTCTACTTTTTAGGAGACAATTCCTTTAGAGACTATAGTTAATAGAATGAATTATAGATGGAACAAGTCACTTATGCAATATAAACAGTTGGAACTATGAATTAATAAAAATCATCTACTAGCAAGATAATTCTTTAAAAATAAAAATAGAAGAACAATGTTTTTATCTAGATTATGAACCACCAAATATCTCCATCTCACTATTTCAGTCTAACAGATTTTAGGGCAAGAATTTTCAAAGGCTAAAGACCTCAGAATATATAATGCTTTATGAAAAATCATAATTGTTGTTGTTGTTGTTAAGTGCCTTTGAGTAGTTTCTGACTCATAGCGACCCTGTTTACAGGGTTTTTGAGGAACAGTTGGTGGGTTTGACCCACCAAACCGTGGTTCGAAGTCCAGTGACCCTACAGCGCCACACCAGAAGTCATTAGAATAGCAACTGTTTATTATAAACAGAATATTCTTCAAAGTAAAAGTTAAATAAAGGCAATTCATTATTAAAATTATCTTAATATAATCTATCCAAGTGGACTTCAAAAACTTCAGGGAAAATTTCCATTATCTTTTAATCCATTTTGCCACAAATCTTCTGAAGCCACCTCATGTAAAGTAGCAATTGGGGCTGGGGTGGGGGGAGGGGCGGGCGGATAAGAAGTCTTAATCAAGAGTACGCAATAAAGAAAAATGTCTACATTTTTGAAAGAGAAAGAAGCTACAGTTTAGAAATTTTCTGATGACAAAAAATATATATCATTCTTTCCCCAAATATCAAGGAAAAACTAAAGTATATAGAAATTTGTTCTTTAAACTTTTTTGGAAGAGGGTTCTAAAATTCAAAAGACTGTCATCAAGAAGAACTTGACAAGAATTTCAACTAAAATTAAAATTTTAAAGTTTATTTTAAGAGATGTAGTTATTTTTTGCGTTTTTCAGAAACTGAAAATGAACAAATGTAACAAACTGTAGTTTAATGGAAAGGGAAAGGAAAAATACTAAGGCTTATGAATTAGATTTGGGCTAAAACATGAAAATTAAAATCTTTTCTCTTAAAATATTTTAATAGCTTTATTAAAACAAAGGCATAAGAAATTATGTCATGAAATAAAAATGTATCTTACAAGAAGATTCCACTTGGCAACTGGACTCTGCAGGACCTGCAGAAATACTAGCAGTTTCCTCAGTTGCCTTTCCTTTCAACCATGACACCAAGCAGTATGATCCAGAGTTGTCACAACAAGCACTTTCTAGTATATCACACAACGTATGACAAAGGTGTTCCTTCCGCTCTTCCTCTGAAAACAACCAAAGAACAAGTCACAGTGGTTTTCTCTGGGGGGGGGGGGTGGATCTTGTCATGAAAACAGCATTAAGTATGTGTTAATTTAATACTGAAAAAGAAAGCATTTTTAAGGGGAGGTAAGACCCATAAAGAACAGATTTAAAATTATTATTTTAGTACAATAATGTGCCTGAGGGTTAAAAAGCATAACTATTGTTACAGTCCCATCAATTACAAAAATAATCCCGAAAAATAATAGAATGAAATATTATGAGAAAGAATAAGCTACTTGGAATAATCTGAAAGAATAGTCCTTAAACTATAGATGTGGCACTTAAGCCTTTAGGTGTCCTTTACTGCAAACTCAGCACAACGCAAATGCCTGTTTAGATTATTTCCCCTTGGTGTGGAGCTGTGGGATATAGCACTAGACCACAAGGCTGCTTTGAAACACAAGGTTAGTGGTTCAAACTCACCAGGTGCTGCTTGGAAAACCTATACAGCATCACTATGAGTCTGAACCGACTAGACAGGTTTGATCTCCTGTCTCACAAGAGTAAGAATGATGAGCTAACACACTGTCAGCACATACAACACCACAATCCATAACATTAGCAGAGGCTACAGTGGTTACATGGCAGGACACCAAAAACTAGTCATACTGCAGTAACAATTTATAGAAAACAGCACAAATGCCAGACTGCTTGTTTCTGAACCTTAGTCACCCAGCCCTTAACGTATGTTAAGAGTATAAATTATGTGTACATATCTTACACTCTTAACATTCAGAATCAGAAAGTAGTATAATTTTCTGAATGTTAAGAGTGCAAAATATGTACACATTGCATATGGTATTTCACAGTACCATAGAGATCTCTCTTTAAAGGCAGAAACTGTGCCATTCACTTTATAACCTCTTTAGCATTTATGGCAACGCTGTTGCTGTTGCTGCTGTTAAGTGCAATGGAGTCAGCCAATACATTGCTGTTTTTAAAATTAAAGTATTTCTATGCAAGAAAGTACAATTTATTTAAAAGCTCATGTTAATAACCAGTGGTTGTTCATAAGCACTCTTGAGTTAGTTCTGACTCATAGTGACCCTGTATAGGGTTTCTAAGGAGTGGCTGATGGGTTGAACTGTGGACCCTGCAGCTCAAAGTGTCCTTGCGGTCCACCGCTTTATTCTACAGCGCCACCAGGATAGCAGCTCTTAAATAGTTTCTTCTCTACCAAAATTTACTTTGCCTTTACAGCTACTTAGTAGTAAATAAACATGACGGTAATGCTTAACTCAAATTCAAAATCATTAACAGATAGATAGTCATGGTTTGTAATATCCTTAGATTCAAACCTGGGGTGGTAATATATCCTACCTTCTTTCAGAAACTATAGTGAGGTCATATGTTATTGTCTAAGTGGACTGTAAACAGTTCAGTGGACTGCAAATGCTCATTACTATCAGGCAGTCCCACATATCATATCACTCTGTTCAAATCATGTTGCCAAAGTCATGACAACTGCACTTGAAATTTAATTCAGAATTATTTGCAGTAATACTTGCATTGTATAAGGTATTATACGAAATGGTTTAGGAATACAATGGTAATTCTGAGTTCTTGCTCATAATTAAATAAGACCAAAAAAAGAAAATAAGTAGCTGTTCTATGTGGTATGTTATCATCTAATACACCAAAATAGCAATTGCTATTGTGTTTATTCTGACTCATGGCAACTCTATGGGACAAAGTAGACTGCCTACGGGGTGTCTGAAGCTGTAATGTTTACAGAAGCAGAATACCACCATATCTTTCTCCTGAGAGTAGTTGGTGGGTCAGAACCACCGATCTTTCAGTTGGCAACTGAATGCTTAATCACGGTGCTACTCCTTTATAATAATTCACTGATATGCATCATGTTTTAGAGGGAGGCCAAAGACTCTCTGCCTTGGTTATATTATCCAGTCTTTTATCTCTTTGTTAATAAAGCCTAATTTGGATACACTTGTTTTAAATTTTGAGGTCAATGTTCATGAACGTTTAAAAATCATTTTTAAACAATTTACAGAAAATCTAAAACAAATACTTACTATTTATAGCTTACATTTTAAGATGGGCAATTTTAATTAAAAAATTGCCAATGAATGCTAAATAGTTCATCTAAAGGACAGAGTAAAAAAAATTTAAAGACAGTTATCATACCTGAGCAATCCCTCCAAGATGACTTCTCAGAAGAAAACAGGAGCTTCTTCAAAAGAAATGCCTTTGCACAATTAAAGCAATCATTATTAGAAAGCATTATAAGCACATATCATAATATCATTTATTTCAAATTGGGAAAAAACTAATTTGTACTTTTCTGATATCCTGAATTGTTCTACTAAAATTTGCTTTCTTTCACATTCAAAAGTACATGTGTAGAATTAATTACTTAGAATATACTACTATCAACTTGATTCTAGATCTATAATATGCTGCTGCTTCTATAAGAAATATTCTCTGGCAAAGAGAATAATTAATTAAAAATAACAGATACATAACTGGTAATTACAGAAACTTGTGGAGTCCTGGTGTGGCGCTGTGGGTTAATGTGCCAGCTGCAAAGCTGTTTGAACTGCAAGGTCGGCAGTTCAAACGTACCAGCTGCTCCTCGGAAACCCTATACAGGGTGGCTATGGGTCAGAAGCGACTTGACAGCACTTCACAACAAATGGAGTTATGGTGTGGTGCTGTGGGTTAATGTGCCAGGACTGCAAAGCCATTTGAACTGCAAGGCCGTTCAAGCTCACCAGCTACTCCTCGGAAACCCTATATAGGGGTCACTATAGATCAGAAGTGACTTGACAACACTTAACAACAACAACAACATTATTTCATTAAAAAATGTAGACCCTACAAAACCGGAGCAAGTGCACAAGTCTCTTAGATTCCTTTGTTGTTACTGTTTTTGTTGTTAAGTGCTACCAAGTCAGTTCTGACTCATAGTAACCCTGTATAGGGTTTTCAAGGAGCAGTTGGTGGGTCTGAACCTAAGACCTTGTGGTCAGCAGTCCAGTGATTATACTATAGCACACAACAAAGCTCCTTGGGAGAAAAGAAATCTAAATAGAAAATGTCTCTGTTCTATTAGAAAACAAGAATGACACTATGAGAGTCATCTTTTCATTATAAGGAGTTCTGCATTTAGCACACACACACAAACTATTAGATTCAAAAGAGAAACAAATTGATTTTTGCCCTTCTCTTGAGTCAACTATATCACATAGAAGATTTGAAAGAAGAGGGTTCAATATACAGTTTCCTTCACAAAGTACAATCCAAGGGCTATCTGTATCTTAATTATCTGAATTGCTTGAAATGCAATTGCTCAAAATTCTCGAGCTTCAAGTGAATCTGAATCTTTATAAAGCAGGTTAAACAGGTAACTGTGGAGACTGTTACTCATAGGTTTTTAATTTCAAAAGCATTAGTATATATATTAGGATATTTGTTGTTGTTATTAAGTGCCGTCGAGTGGATTCCAACCCATAGCGACTCTGTATAGGATTTCCAAGGAGCAGCTGGTGAGCTTGAATCACTGACATTGCAGTTCAAGCGACTTTACAGTCTGATGCATTAGGAGATTTGTTGTTGTTGTTAGGTGCCGTTGAGTCGGTTCTGACCCATAGCGACCCTGTACGGGGTTTCTGAGGAACAGCTGGTGAGCTTGAACTGGCGACATTGCAGTTCAAATGGCTTTGCAGTCTGGCGCATTAACCCACAGCGCCACACCAGGAGATTTAGACAGACCTAAATTTGAGTCTTGATTCTACTACTTTACTACCTAGAAATAATAATAGCACAAATTTTAAAAGGATGGCGTGAGGATCATATGAGGTTATATATGTAATGCATTTGGTAAAGTATGTGGCACAAATAAGCAATCAATTCAAAGTCTGCTAAGAAATATTCTATAGTATTCCAACAGAAATTAAATCTATAAATGCTACAATCATGAGCTTCTGATGTTTCTCCAAAATAACAAAAATCATAAAATTGAGTTGCTGTTGTTATGTGCTATTAAGTCTGTTTTGACTTATAGCAACTAAATATAGTGTTTTTGAGGCTGCAAATCTAATCAGAAGCAGAAAGTCTCATCTTTCTCCCATGGAACAGCTGGTCGGCTTGAACCAAAGACCTTGTGATCAGCAGTCTAGTGTTTATTCTACAGATCCACAATGGTCCCCAAAACTGAGTTTTTGTTTTAAGTGCCATTGAGTAGGTTCTGAATCATAGCGATCTTGTTGGAAACCCTATACATGTTGGCTATTGAGTCAGAATCAACTCAACAACACCTAACAATAATAACAAATAGGGTTTCCGAGGAACAGCTGGTGGGTTTGAACTGCCAACCTTGTGGTTCACAGTCCAGTGCTGATCACCAGGAGTCCCCAAACTTGAGTAGTGGTGATAGTGGTGTGCCCTGGAGTCGGTTTCAACTCATTGCGACCCTGTATAGGGTTTCTGAGGCTGTAAATCTTTATGGGAGCAGAAAGCCTCATCTTTCTCCTGCGGGACAGCTAGTGGTTGTGAACTGCTAACCTTGAGGTTGCCAGCCAGCATTGCAACCACTATGCTACCAGAGCTTGTTCCAAAACTGAGTAGCAGGACTATGTTAAAGAATTTTTGGAAAATGAGGTAGGGACACATTATTTTACCACTGATACAACCACTGTTAGTGCTTTGATATATTACTTCCAGACTTTCTTTACACTTGTTTGTAATTTCATCACAAGTGAGAATCATAATAGGTATGTGATTGTTTTATTTTTTACTATTTTCCAACAAAATTCATAACTGTCATTGGTAATCACTAACTGCCTGTATAACTATCAAATTTTATTGCATGTTATTTGATATTTAAATTATATTACTATACCTTTAGCTTGTTTGCAATCTCAACAACAATTAATAACAACAACATATATACTAGGGTAAGTGAAGTATTGCTAGCAGAATTCCAGTTCATACATGCACAGGCTTATTTCAAATAAAACATGTTCAAATGTATCTCTACAATCAGCGGACAGTTTAGGGCAAGTTTTCTTAGTAATACTCTTGTCTTAGTCTCATAGTTGTTGTTGTTAAGTGACATCGAGTCGGTTCTAACTCACAGGGACCCTGTATAGCAGGGGTGGAAAATGTCCAGCTGGCGCACTGTATAAGTCCTGTGAAATCATTTGGACTGACCTTGCCAAGGCAACTGCAGTTCAAGCCATCACAGTGTTGTTAAGTATCATGGAGTGCATATTAGGTTCTGACTCATAGTGACCCTGCATAGGGTTTTTGAGGCTGTAAATCTTTACAGGAGCAAAAAGCCTCATCTTTCTCCCATGGAGCAGCTAGTAGATTAGAACTGATAACATTTCATAGTGGATCATAATCTACTATGCTACCAGGGTTAAATTTTAAGTTGATAATTTTTATGGCCTTCGAACAATGTTATAAATTTTGGCAGGAAAAGGTTCCCCACCCATGCTGTATAGGGTTTCTGAGGAGCGGCTGGTGAGCTTGAACTGCCTAAAATTGATCTTGCAGTCCAGTGCGTTAGCCCGCAGCGCCACAGCAGGACTCCATAGTAAGACCTAGTATCATAATTTATTTCCATAATTACGTTTATTTTTCTAGTTAATACCATCATGTTCTCATTTTCTTCATTACACTTAATGATTAACTTCTGACTTTTAAATTGAAATATTAATAAACACAAAATTACTCTGATTGAAAAGATTTATGTAGTTGCTAAACTAAATTACTACCTTAAAGATACATAAAGATGGCTGTCAGAATTTTACTTATTACAATCATCCTTTGTTACAGAGCAACACCATTTACAAAAATAACTATGATTTCTGAAAATTAAGCAGAAAATTCCCATGTTTCACCTTACATTAAACTACATTCACAGATTTCAATAAAAACTCTTTGGTACTATTACAAATGAAGATGGGCACCACTTATATTACCTAATTTCCATATAGCCAGGACAAGAACTCTTCAAAACTCAGGTGCAAATCCTTCTAGCAATCCAAAATTACCTCAAAATACTCACTACAACTAGGTCTTACTACTAATTTACAGTCAAATTTCATTCATCTTTAACACTCTGAAGGAAGGGTCAAACCTATTTTTTTTATTGCTCTAATAAAAGAAAACAAACTTTACAATGAAGAGAAATAAAATAATAAACTATAAAGGTTATTGCTTTGGAATCTATCAGAAAAGGGGAATTATTTTTTTCCTTCAGATAAATACATTTTTACTTTAACAATGTAAAACTTTTAAAGTATAAGGTTTACTTTGCAACTGTTTAGAAATGCATTCTTTATGCCCAGTAAGTGATAAATATCTTATTACATATGTATTTTCAAATAAAATATTTAAAATTTTAATTTAATTAAATATAGACAATTTCTATAATAGTTCTGAACTTACCCTGTTTTCACACACATACAGATTACATTAAAATACAGTTCTTGGTCTTAATAAAGTTACAGTTTATAGGTAATGAGTCATTACAATTAAAACTATATAACACATTAAGACTCAAAATCAAATGAATACGCATTCTCTAACTTTTATGCAGCAAAGAAAAACTTATTTTAGAATTTTTTTGAAATCCATTGCTACTAATTTTATTTAGAAAGATCAAAACTAGAGCTTAAAACAGTGTATACTTCCAACTTACTTTTAAAAAAATTTAAAGTTAGCCCAGGAAAGTAGCAACTTGCCTTCAATTTTTAACATAAATCATTTTTATCAACAGAACAGATAGAACACTATGACAAACCTATCTAAAGTATGAAATGCTATTATTCAATAAGCTCTTTGTTCTAGAAAAGATGTCATGATCGTAATTCCTACTTTTCTGAAAATTAGGGAACTATTATCTTTTCTTTAAAATAAATTTCTACTGTTGTACAATTTACCTATTTTCTGACTTTGTTCTTTGTGTATGTCAATAGTAATTTACATGAATAAAAGTTAAGTGTTAACTGATCATATCTCATAATTATTTAGAATACAGACAATAATAATAAAAACTAAAATGAAATGTTTGAACACTTCCTGTATGCAGTTGGTAAAGGAGTCTGTATTACCTGAACAGGTGCAATAACAGCACAGGGGCCACCTTCAAACTGTTCTAATGCAGATCCCTCGGATTCACTAAACACAAACCCTAAAAATAAAAGCAAGTAGCAAAGAATAAAAATGTCATTCAAATAATGGCTAAAGATATTCTAGTGTACTTTGCTCTACATTAGCAAAATATGTGTAGGTAAGTTAGAATTAGATTCTCTACCTTTAGCGGGGATCAAGGAATCCTCCTTTCAAAAAAGCTAAGAGTTGTCATACAATGACTTCACTTTTTCTCAAATCGTATTAAGAGTCTTTAGGTGTGCCACTCTTACAGCAATACTGTAACCACATAAAAACTGCATTTCAACACAAGATAAAAAGGTATTTCACAAAAAAGAGTCTAAGTTTTTGCTCCTGCTGGCAGAGCTACAATGACAGATTCACAGATTTCATTTTCTTTCCTTACAATGGATTTATTTATCTTGAAATAGTGGGCAACCATAGCAGCAGACCTCAATTTTCAGTATATAGCAAACAATTTAGCTTTTTAATGTAATGTCATGACTTTTCTCTGCTTTTTGTTGAGTATTTCCAGCATCACTAGTGACACTTTGTATGGGTCCCATTTACAGTTGACCGTATTACAGTTGTTGCAGTTAAGTGTCATCTACTCAGTTCCTACTCATAGTAATGCTATATAGGCTTTCCGAAGAGCAGCTGATGGGTTTGAACCACAAGCCTTGCATTTAAACTGACTTTGTGGTCCAGCCTGTTATCCTGCAGTGCCACACCAAGACTCCCATGTTATACTATTTTTACATCATGTTTACATGTTACATAAACACAGTGAAAAATTACATGTTACAATAAACACTATGAAAAATATGTGAGAACTTTTTGCTGTGATATGTTATTTACACATAAACATCGATATCTTAGGCATTAGTGAGTTCAAATGGACTGCTTTTGGCAATTTTGAATCTGACAACCACATGGTTTACTATACTGGGAATGACAAATTGAAGAGGAATGGTGTTACATTCATCGTCAAAAAGAACATATCCAAAATTACTCATGAGGTACAATGCTGTCTGTGATATAATAATATCCATGCACCTACCGGGAGGACCACTTAATACCATTATTATTTAAATTTACACACCAACTACTAAAGCCAGTGAGGATGAAACAGAAGAATTCTACCAACTTCTTCAATCTGAAATTGATTGAACATGCAATCAAGATATATTGATCGTTACTGGTGACTGGAATGCAAAGGATGGAAACAAAGAAGAAGGATCAGTAGGTGGAAAATATGGCCTTTGTGACAGAAATAATGCTGGAGATTGTATGATAGAATACTGCAAAACCAATGACTTGTTCATTTCATATACCTTCTTTAGACAGCATAAGAGACGATTATACACATGGGCCTCACCACATGGGTTACAAAGAAGTCAAATAGACTACATCTATGGAAAGAGACAGGGGGAAAGCCCATCAATTACTCATATGCAAATTCAGACTGAAGCTGAAGAAAATGAAAACAAGTCCACGAGAGCCAAACTATGACCTTGAACATATCTCACCAGAACTTAGAGATCAAAAGAACAGATTTCAATATATTAAACACTAAAGACCGAAGATCAGAAGAGTTGTGGGATGACATCAAGAACATCATATAGAAGGAAAGGAAAACTCATTAAGAAGACAAGAAAGAAAAGATCAAAATGGATGTCAGAAGAGACACTGAAACCTGCTCTCCAGTGTAGAGAAGCTAAAGCATATGGAAGGAATGAGGAGGTACAAAAGCTGAACTGAAAATTACAAAGGGACGTTAGAGAAAACAAAATCAAATACTACAACAAAATGTGCAAAGATCTGGAGTCAGAAAACCAAAAGGGAAGAGCACACTCAGCATTTCTCAAGCTGGGGGAACTGAAGAAAAAATTCAAGCCTCCACTTTTGTTACTGAAGAATTCTCTTGGAAAATTATTGAACGATGCAGAAAGCGTCAAAAGAAGATGGAAGGAATATATAGAGTCACTATACCAAAAGGAAATGGCTGATGTTCAACCATTTTAGAGGTAGCATATGATCAAGAGCCAATGATTATAGAGATAGAATTCCAAGGTGCATTGAAGGAATTGGTTAAGAACAAGGCACCAGGAATTGATGGAATAAAAATTGAAATCTTTCAAGAAAGTGAGGCAGCACTAGAGGCACTCACTCACCTATGCCAAGAAGTGTGGACGACAACTATCTGGCTGACTGATTTTAAGAGATCCATATTTGTGCCCATTCCAAAGAGAGGTGACCCCACAGAATGCAGAAATCATCGGATAATATCTTTGATATCCCGTGCGAGTAAAATTTTCCTAAAGGTAATACAGAAATGGCTGCATGCATACATTGACAGAGAACTCCTAGAGGTTCAAACCAGATTCAGAAGAGGACATTAAATGAGAGATATCATTGCTGATATCTGATGGATCTTTGCTGAAAGCAGAGAATACCAGAAAGATGTTTACCTGTGTTTTATTAACTACACAAAGGCTTTTGATTGTGTGGATCATGACAAGCTATGGACAACTTTGCGAAGTATGAGTATTCTGGAACACTTAAATTAAGAAAGGTGTGCGATAGGGTTGTATTCTTTCACCATACTTATTCAACCCGTATGCTGAGCAAATAATCAGAGAAGCTGGATTATATGAAGAAAAACATGGCATCAGGATTGGAGGAAGACTCATTAACAACCTGCGACATGCAGATGATACAACCTTGCTTGCTGAAAGTGAAGAGGACTTAAAATACTTACTGATGAAGATCAAAGAGTACAGCCTTTGTTATGGTTTGCATCTCAATGTAAAGAAAACAAAAATTCTTACCACTGAAGCAATAAACAACGTTCTTATCAACGGAGAAAAGATTGAAGTTGTTAAGGACTTCATTCTGCTTGGATCAACTATCAACATTCATGGAAGCAGCAGTCAAGAAATCAAACGACATACTGCACTAGGCAAATCTGCCACACAAGAACTTTTTAAAGTGTTGAAAAGCAAAGATGTCAGCTTGAAGACTAAGGTGTGCCTGACACTAGCCATGGTATTTTCAATAACCTCATATGCATGTGAAATCTGGACAGTGAATAAAAAGACCGTAGAACAATTGAATGCATATTTGACTTATGGTGTTGGAGGAGAATATTGAAAGTACCATAGGCTGCCAAAATAACCAACAGATCTGTTGGAAGAAGTACAACCAGAGTACTCCTTGGAGGCCAGGATGGCCAAACTTCATCTCTCATACTTGAGACATATTGTGAGGCGGGACCAGTTGCTGGAAAAGTATATCATGTTTGGTAATGTGGAGAGTCAGAGAAAAAGAGGAAGACCCCCAGGGAGATGGATTGGCAAAGTAGCAGCATCAATGGGCTCAAGAGTGGCAACAATTGTGAGGTTGGCCCTGGGCTAGGCAGTGTTTCTTTCTGTTGTGCATTGTTGTTGTTGTTGTTGTTGTTATTGTTAAGTGCCGTGGAGTCGGTTCCAACTCAAAGCGACCCTGCACAGGGTTTCCGAGGCTGTAAATCTTTATGGGAGCAGAAAGCTTCATCTTTCTCCCACAGAACCGCTGGTAGTTTCGAACTGCTGACCTTGCGGTTCACAGCCCGGCCTGTTGTGCACAGGGTCTCTATTAGTCGGTACTGACTCGATGGCACCTAACAACAACAACATGCTATTTACTGCAGACTAGTGTCATACAACATTTTAAGTGATACTTGCAACACTTAAGCTCATCACAATAGCAACATAGGGGGGTTGTAGAATTACTACAGTAGTAGCATTGTGGTTACAAATTGTGCTGCAAACTGCAAAGGCAGCAGTTCGAAACTACCAGCTGTTCAGCGGGAGAAAGATGAGGCTTTCTGCTCCCATAAAGATTTACAGCCTCAGAAACCCTGTACAAGGTCACTATGAGTCGGAACTGACTCCATGGCACATAACCACACCACCTGCTCTCGTAAAGATTTACAGCCTTGGAAACCCTATGCAGAGTCACTATGAGTTGGAACCAACCCCAAGGTACTTAACAGCAACAAACAGTTAACTTTAAGCAGCTGTGATGTAATACTGCATCTTTATCTTTGTTTACAGTTCACTGGATAGGGAATGGCACTATGTATGGTCTGTAAGAGTATAATCTTTGATAAGTAAAAAGTTTTACGATAAATCTGTACATATTTTATGGTTGTCGTTGATGTTAAGTGCCATCGAGTCGGTTCCAACCCCATAGTGACCCTGTATAGGGTTTCCAATGAGTGACTAGTGAGCCTGAACCACTGACCTTGAAGTTCGTACTGACTTTGAAGTCCAGCGCGTTATCCCAAATACAGTAGTATCTATATATATCTTATGCACTCAAGACATAACCTAACTTTTTCGTATTTATTTTACTTATTTTGGGTATTTTAAGGCTACATAGTTCATCTCTGAGTTTTTCAAATTGTCACACATCTCCAAAAAGTTTCAATACATTTTCTGGAAAATCAATCTGCCGGTAAGTATACCTATGAAGGTCATCTGTAATTTACTTGGGAAGGACTTGCTGTATCTATCTACTGAATTCAAACAGAATTTTCAGGATCTTTCCATACAGCATATAAGTTTTTAGGCCCTTCAATCTTTGAATTGAAAAATCAAATGGCATCACAGACAATGACTGTGCTCATATGGTTCTATCTGAACTTAACTATTATCCGACCAGGACTGAGTAATCTCACGACAAAGAAGGGACAGAGCACCTTAAGTCAAGAGATTGTGCTACTATCTATGTAACTTTAGGTAAAGCATCCCACTTCTTTAGACCTCAGTGTTCACTTTAAAAAGACAGGTTCCACTTCCAGCATGCTGTGTGGTTCTATACTGGGAGTCGATATTGACTTGTAGAGAAGGACTTTCCTATAGAGTTTTCTAGGAGTCCTGATGTGACACTGCAGGATAAGCACTAGACTGCTACTAACTAATTCAGTGAATCATTCAACAACAAACATTTAATGAAAACCAGATACTTCCCCAACCATTCTAGGAAATATGCATG